CGTCACGCCCAGACACTCGGGTGTTCTGACGCCAGCTCTGTGCCGCGCTCCCGCCCGGTGTGGCCAGCGCGGAAGTGGGAGGGCTCAGTCTGGAGGAGCTTTAAATGCAGCGTGGGGTGAACGAGGCGCGCGTGAGTAAGGGCTGTGTCAGCCCCGCTGCTATTTCAGATGGTTCTGCCGTTGCTGGGGAAACTCAAGGAAAGGTGGAAAAATCAGCGCTGAGGGCGGATAGTGGGGCCTTTCAGGAGACGGCAGGGAAAATAATCACGGCGGGGATTTACGAGGGCTATTTATAGTGCGCTGGCATCCCGGGGAAGGCAGTGGGGCCGGCGGCGGGGCTGAGCGGGGTTAGGAGCAGAGCGGGGACGGTAGCGCTTCACTGTGTACCCCTTGTGGGGACAGGGCTGGGAGCCCACGCATGACCCACTGGTGCTCCCACTTCTCTGGTGCCAGCCCGGGACGGGCATGGCCATGGGGACATCTCCATAAGGGGGGTGGTCGGGACTGGCAGCACGTGGCACCGAGGGACGCTGGGGCACAGACACCCCACGCTGCCACCCTGCACGGGTCCCTGCTCCGCTGTCCCTGGACGGACGGACTGACGTACACCCGGACACCGGGTTCCCGGTTGATTTGCCACCAGGACAAAGTGGGACAAAGATTTTGGGCAAGTGCCATGGGAAAATGAGACCCTCAGCCCAGCCTCAGCCTGGCCCTGCGAGGGCTTCCCAGGGGCCAAGGCCAGGGAGAAGGAGGTGAAAGAGGTGGCGGGTGAGGACGGGCACGGACGATGCTGTCCCCTCGTGGCACAGCCCCTGCATGACACCACGGCACAAAGGGGTGCAGGGGACACACAGGGTGGCATGGGATGCTCATCCTGCACCAAGGCTGGCAGTGCCACCAAGGTGGATGGGGCCAGGCCACCCCCTGCAACCTCCCATGGGTCCCACACCAGTGGGTCTATGCAAGGATGCTCGGAGGAGCCAGCTCTGCCTGGCCAAGCCATGCCCAGGGCTGGCTAAGGACCCCAGGGGCATAGGAGGGATTCAAGGCGAGGATGTACTGCACCCCAAGTGATGATGCTATCTAGACAGACCCACAGCTCTCTCCAATCCCACAAGGGTCAATACTGCAATCCACTGGGGAAAAAATAGCTGCAACAACCCCAGGGCTCAGTCCTGCAAGGTGCTGAGCACCCTGAGCCATGGAAGGATTTTTAGAGGGCAATCATCACCCCTAGTCCCCAGTGCCATCCATGCTCTCGTGGGGGCTACGGACGGTTTCATTGCCTTCACATTATCTGGGCTGTGGTCCCAGCAGGACACACGTCCCACTGCTGCCAGCTGCCAAGCATCAGCTCAGCGCTAACGTGGGAAAAGCAGATCCAAACACGGAGCCTCACACTCCAAACACCATCTGCCTCACATTACCGCATTGCCAGTGATGCCGGTAGCCGAGGACCAGCCGCCACACGGGATGGACCATCCCACACAGCCGCGAGCAACCATTTTAGCAGTGTTCCCAGTTT